AATACATATCAACGTTTGGAAACCTCTTCGCCTTTTTCTCACGCAAATTCACTGCGTCTCACAAAAATACAGCGCATACGATCGTGAACTAACAGCGGTGTATGAAGCTTTGAAGTTCTTCAGACACTTTGTCGAAGGCCGCGAGTTTAAAGTATCTACAGATCACAAACCGTTGATTTATGCTTTTAAACAACGTTCAGATAAGGCCTCTCCGAGGCAACTACGACAGCTATCTTTTATAGCTCAATTCACTACTAATTTTGAATATCTCCCGGGAACGGACAACGTAGTAGCTGATAGCTTATCGCGAATAGAAGCCCTAGGCCTTCCTGTCGAATTCGAGCTAGTCGATTTAGCAGAACGGCAATCTCAGGACGCAGAACTCAAACATCTGTTAACATCGCAAAATTGCTCACTCAAACTTAAAAGATTTACTTGGGGATCTCCTCCCACAGAGTTATACTGCGAATTGTCTGGCGAATCCATACGTCCCTACATTCCAGCCGCCCTTAGAAAACAAGTCTTTGACATGTTCCACGGTCCTGCTCATCCCAGCGCTAAAGTCACTGATCGAATAATCCGCCAACGATACATATGGCCTAATTTACACCGTGACGTCGCAGCCTGGTCGCGAGAGTGTATCGATTGTCAACAATCAAAAACTACACGACATGTCAAGCATCTACCCGCATTTTTTACCGCGCCGGACGGCCGTTTCGACCACGTTCATATGGACATTATTGGTCCGTTGCCCCCTTGCAACAATTTCAAATATTGCCTAACGATTATAGACCGTTTTTCGCGCTGGCCAGAAGCCATTCCCCTTCGCGACATTATGGCGCGTACAGTGGCACAAGCTTTTTATGATAATTGGATCGCACGATTCGGCACACCTCGGATCCTCACAACCGACCAAGGCGCTCAATTTGAGTCTCAGCTTTTCTCCGCTCTGTTATCTCTCACGGGTTGCAAGCGAATTCGTACTACCGCATACCACCCCGCCGCGAATGGTTTGATAGAGAGATGGCACCGTACCTTAAAAGCAGCCTTAATGTGTCACAATTCTCCAGATTGGGTAAGCGTATTATCAACTGTTCTACTCGGATTACGCACTCATGTGCGCTTAGATACGGGCGCTTCCCCAGCAGAATTTCTTTATGGCACAACCTTGCGTGTACCGGGTGAATTCTTCATTCAAGAAGACTTTACACCGGATCCACAGATTTTTGTCGAGGATTTCCGCCAATACATGCGTCAGATAAAACCTATTCCAGTATCACATCACAACAAAAAAAGCCCATTTCGTTATAAAGACCTTCAGTCATGCTCACACATATTTCTACGCTCCGACGCAGTAAAAAAACCTCTTGAGCGACCATACTCCGGTCCGTTTAAAGTTCTACAACGTGTTTCCGACCGAGTTTTTACGATTGAAATTAATGGCAAGCCTCAAAGTGTATCCGTCGAAAGACTTAAACCGGCGCATTTTATAGCCGACAGTATCAATGCGCCTCAACTCGCGGATACTTATAAATCGAGCGATTCTCATACAACGTCACTTAAAACTTATTCCGGTCCCAAAAAACATGTAAATTTTAAGTTACCTTAAGCATTATCTTTTGCATTATATTCTTTTAATTTAAGGCTCAAGTTAATAAGTGCGTTTAAAATTATCTTAACTTTTAAGAAAAAGCTTTATACTCCGGTAAGTACCCTGTAAACATTGTGCAATAATTATGTTCTGTTTATATCGTTTACACTCGGAGGGGAGTATGTAGGCTATGCCGATTACTGCGCTCTCGACTTTACCGACTAAGCCTAGGGATTACAGAGACTCACGTGCGTGATAAAAAGACGAGTTCTATCTGACCCCTTTGTAAAGACAAGACGTAATACATAATTTTCTGATATTTAAATACTACACGTCTCTCATAGTGCTTACTTCCTAACACGTAAATCCTCTTCAACCTATTGGAAATATTGTGGGCCTCCACGTCGAAGAAGATTAACCAGGACGTCAACCACCGGGTAACCTAACCCCCGAGATACGTTCCTGGATATACAGGTGCCCACACACAGAGTGCCGCTACGCCATCTTTTAAGAAACAGCGAGAACTTATTCAAGGACCTAATAATAAAAAAAAACTACAAATAAAATTACAACTCATTAATTTACGAAACAGTCTCGAAATTAATGTAACACTTATGTAAGAGTAATTGTCTGCTGAAAGAGTGATATTTTTATGTAATGACATAATCATTCATCACACAGTGATTAAATATATGATGAAAATAATTTTAAAGTACGTTGACACGTGTGAATAGATCATCATAAGCCTTAAAATACGAGATGCATCCATATACCAATGACATATAATCTAATCTAAGAATGACTAAGAAATTTTTTAGCAGTCAATAAGAAGATATCGAGGTCTCATTATATATTTTGTTGTATGCATGGCAACAAAATTAAAAAGTAATTATAATAACAAATGTGTAATTAAAAGCGGAAAAAAAATTTTATACGTAAAAAATCAAATCGGGTAAACAAGTTGACTACAGAATAAAATTGCAGATATACAAATATGCAGATTAAATAGTTAGCATATATAAATATTACTTCAGTTATGTGTGTTTAATAATTGATTATTAAATTACATAAAGTTGCTTTACATTTTATGTCTAAATAATTGTAGTATAAAGATATTATAAAAATATAGTTTAATAGTAATTACACGTTAATAGTAATTATTTTTACATAAAATTTGCAACGTTTTTTAATAAAATAATCATAGTTTTATAACATAAAAATGTGATATGTGTATTATTTTAAAATATATGTCTTTTTTGTATATATTTTGGCTTTAAATTAAGATACTGATTTACGAATGCACCTATTTAGCAGATATATGAATAAATTATTAATTAGAACATAGTTATCGTTTGATCATTAAAAATATGCTGCAAAATTTTATTTCACAGAATAAGTTTGCGTACACGTGTAATAATCTCATATAAAGTTATTCCGTTTTTTTTTTTTCGAAGATAATTACGCTCTCCGAGAAAAGACGGGATGAAAGGTCGGTTTCTTGAATTGCGTAATGAAGTGTAGAAATATCAAAGTATTGCATTATAAAAAGTGAATGATAAAAACGGAAACTTGTTGGGGAACAGATGTAGTCATCGAGAACATCTCATCATCGGAAATACCGATTATTGGAAATATAGAAGTTTCGTAATCGCCACACCAATTCGATCAAACCAACATGACTCTCGATTCGTAATGAAGTGTAGAAATATCAAAGTATTGCATTATAAAAAGTGAATGATAAAAACGGAAACTTGTTGGGGAACAGATGTAGTCATCGAGAACATCTCATCATCGGAAATACCGATTATTGGAAATATAGAAGTTTCGTAATCGCCACACCAATTCGATCAAACCAACATGACTCTCGATTCAAAGTGAGTATTATCTGATTCGAAACAAATTATTGCGCTTATAAAAATAATATTTAAAAAAATGTATTTTTCTCTTTAAAATTATTCTGTTTTAGTAAAGAAGAGCGTGCCATGCTGAACTACGCTACGCCTAATTACATTTCATCGGGCGTAGAGAATAACAACAATAATAACAATGAGAAGAATGAAAAAGATACCTTATGTAAAGACAAAACAACCGTGCAATACTCATCGAATTCAAAAGGAGTGCTTGCACAGGTTAGATATATAACTTGAAATCTTATAGTAGACGTAGAACTGTTTATTATTAATTCCCCGTATTTTTTAATTATTTTTTTTATTTTTACTTTATTATTATTATTTTTTTATTTTTACTTTTTTATTATTTTTTAATTATATTGCATAGAATAATAGTCCGCATAGAATTCGAGAGCTCTTTTCAGTATTTTGAAAACTATTCTGCAAGAGTGACTATCGTATATAACAAACCCTTTTTTTATTTCGCTCGCGTGTAAACTGCTAACTTTCGTGGAAAAAGGAATTTGCGCAGTGGTAGGCGCACTGCGTGTTCAGCCATGCGGGACCAACGGAGATATTCTGGATTAGTGCCAGAATATTTTTCGGTTTAAAAATAGAAAGATACCAAACATGGCACCTACCATTCTTCATCTAGTGCTTTCCTGTCGTTACTCGTTTCCGTCTCGGAATTGTAACGCCGTATCACTTTTATATCGACATAAATATTATTTTTGAGAAAGTAGGATACGCATATATTTGTAATAATATTCCTTCGGCAAAAATATGGATTAAAATTTTTGAAAATTCAAATGTGATTTTAAATCGAAATATTCGAAGGAAAAAAAAAACATTCTCAATACCACTTAAACATGCGGACATATATTTTTGTAAAATATATTTATCTCTCTCTCTTTAGTATCTGCAGCATGCAAATTGCATCGCATTAGAATGAGTTGCTTCAGTGGAACTGTGCTCGCATGCAGTTACATATATCTTTCCGTGTGATGTGCCACTGTGCTTTACCGTTTGTCGCAAGACATACATACATGTATATATATCTCTGCACGAGATTTTCGACAAAGCGTACTTTGCCGTGAATGTCGTACGGCACATAAATATCCTCCAGCGGCTTACGTCAGTATCTACGGAACAGCGGAAACAGGGCAAATTCTGTGCGATATAATAGCAGTTTGAGTTTTATAGAAAGCGAAGAGCGGTAGTAAATCTTGGCTGGTTGTCAACCACATGTTTCTTACCCCCTTTTTCAATTCGTTCAAGCTTGTCTTTGTGTGTAATTGTTATACGTTCACTTGGGAACGGCTCCAACATTCTTCTCGCCGTTTCACTTCTTCGTGATTAAATCGTAATTTTTTACGGTTGACGCCGTCGCTGCCAACCCTCACATATCAATCATGTATGTTTTGATTTATTGCAGTGATGATTGACTTTGAAATATTCGTTGAATTATCACGGCCGTGTGATTCTTTCGCTGTTATATTAAAATACTTTACTGCAATAATTTATTATGATAATTAACACGATCAGTGAAATGACTAATTATGTGTTTGCAGTGCTTGGTAACAGGTGCAGTATTGTTGCTGGCGACTGGTGGCGGCATGCCGATTGGTTACAGCGCTGTTCTGTTGCCACAATTGTCAGACAATAGCAGTACTATATATGTGGACCGCGAACTTGGCTCCTGGATAGGTGAGAGCGCACGTTTGCTAGATATTAATTTTATCTACACTCACCCGAAAAAAAAGCGGTACACTGAAAATGTGGGAAAAATTCATCAAATTTCAACTGACGATAACTTCGTAAATAATAAAGATAGAAAGTTCTATAAAATATGGAAATAAAGCTAAAAATCTCTACTTTAAGAATCAATTTATTTCAATGTTGCAAAATAAATTTATTGAAAATGGCGGATGACAAAGCGCGAGCATGCAAAATTGAAAAATAATGGTTCGAGTTTGCGACGGTGCAC